TACAAAACTGCCACCGCGCACCATTATGCTGCGGTTTTCGTTGAACCGTGGCATAATGTGCGCTGTAAAAACCCGATTTTTTACTAGTGATTTGAAGATAAAACCTGCATGATTAAAGATTCAGATAATAAAGAATTATTCAGAGTTCAAATGAAAGGCAAGAGCTTTGTCTTGAATTTGATTGATAAAGAGTAGTTTGTTGTGCACAAGGTTGAAGACAATAAGCAGGTACAAGGGTTGCCTGAATTGGAAGAGAAATCACCTGTATGCGTAACTTTGCAATATGGAAAGCAAACAAGGTTGCCTTTTCCAAAAGACAAATCTTTGAGAACAACAAACAAACTGCAATTAGTACATACGAATATCGGAGAACCTAAAGAAACCCCATCTCTGAATGGCAAAAAAATTAGAGGAAGAAGAGCAGCCTAGGACAACTCTTCCCGAAGCAAAAGTTGAAAAAGCTGAAAAGCTAAGAGAACAAGTATAAGTAGATGAGGAAGTTGCGGAAGATTGTAAAGACGTGAAGACTAAGGAAGAAATTGTAATTGAGACTTTCAAAAGTGAAGGAACTTTGGATGATACGGTCAAGGACGAAAAAACTTAGTGTGTGGTGATGGTCTACAACATGTGAACACCAACTCTTCACTGAACACAAGTTCACGTGGCAGTTGATTCAAACCAGAGGAATTGCCCTTCCAACATTCCAGACCTGCGCCGACACCACTCCATTTGGGAACAAAACAACACTGGTTTACTCACTACTGAACTCGAATATCTTTTACACTAAAACAATGGTGCAAACATGTCCCATGCAACCAAATAAACAGACTAGAACAAGTGCATATCAATTCTAAATAGACCATCACACCTCTAAATGAAATCAACCATTATATTGTGCTGTAAAACACTAGCTTTTGGAGAAGACCAACTTGCTGAATGACTTACTTGGGAAATCCAATCACCGAACCAATAGGACCACTGCTGAATAAAATTTACTGCCGCACAAAGGTTAGTTTGGTTTTTGTCATATCAGTTGGCCAAAGTCAACAATTTGCACTAAAAGGAACACAACCACTTTTGTGCACTTTTCCAATCTCCACCACCTCAATAACAACACCTCAAGCTTAGAGTTTCGACTAATTGGGTCGCTACACTGTTGCCACAAAAGTTAGTCAAGCTGCTACACCGTATGAACCAGAACTCTTGTTGCGAATTACATAAATAAAAGTTGCCTCGGTTGGAACGTTGGACAGCGAGTTCGCTGCTGCAACGCCGGATACGAGTTGGCTGTTAGACTGAAGAGGTTGGAAAGTGAAAAGAGTTCTAGGGTTTACAATATATTTTAATAACTGATTTTTATTTATTAAACTATCATCACATGTTTTTAAAGTCTGTTTTTTAAATTGATTTAAATTCACAAACTTAAAAAGTCTATTTCGTATCAGAGAAGGAGAAGAAGTGTGGTTGACATTAAAGTTACACGAAATTTCGAAATCAATTATAAAGTCTCAAATACTAAATGAATAAATTAATTTGTAAATAGTCATTGTTCAAATGTACGTACCCTTATTGATGATATGACTCTAAATTTTTTATTTTAGAGACAATATTCAATTATCTACCCATAATTGTTTTTTACCTACAAAATCTTATGGTTGGTTTTGTTATTAAAAGATAAGGTCTTGTCCAGCCGAAATCGACTCAAATATATTAGGCTAATAATAATCTACTAGATATAAGGTATCGTTAACTCTTCTATGATTGACATAATAAAAGATAATAAGAAAAGTCGTATAGAAGATAACAACAGACACATCTATATAAATATATTAAGGAGTACTTGGAATTTATTTGCTCAGTTTTACTTTGATTTTCTTATACAACAGTTAACTAGTTAAACGAAATGACACTCTCACATACATACAATTTTATATTCATTTGACATTAATTTTTTTTTAAAACATAAAATTTTACTTTTTTATAATTATTTTATTTTTATAACATATGTCAAATGAATATAAATGTAATCACTGTATTATCACTCCTACATTTATTTTAGTCGTGTGAATCAAGAGATAAAGATGTTGAAATCATTTTTATGGCAGCGCTGTTACTTTGTCCACTACCTTTGGACTCATTAGAATAATACACGTCCTTGACAATCATAAGCAGTGCCACTATGAATGCGTAGTCCACGTTGGGATACACCAAGACATTGAAGCCACCATTATTCTCCATCTACATTACACACAAAAACATGCATATGTTATTAGCCTAATATATTTAAATTTTACCGCTTATAAAAAACATGCATCTAACATAAGTAGTCATACTTTGGCTATAATGGTAGGAGATTCACCGGCATAAACAGTGCACGAGTGTTTACTTCCATAAATGATCACTCTAAAGTCGCTTTTCTTTTCCTCTTTGTTGCCTGCGAGGAACACGTTTAATTTAGTAATCTCAGAAGGGATCGTCGACGATTTCTTGACTTCCTTCACCCAAAATAGCAAATCAGATGAATCATTGCTTTCACCCTTCAAAACTTTCCATTGCTCACGCACCGTCATAATCTGCATAAGAGAAATTATGAATTAGAACAACATGGTCAGTTAATCAGTAGGAAAAAACACAACACACTTACTATAACAAAAAAGGTCATCTAACAGTTAGTTTAGTTCAGTGGTTAGAATGAAAAATTAAACTTAGATTACTTCTGCAGGTGGGCAAACATGAAATTAATAAAAGTAAATAATTAACTTTAGAATGCTTGGTTAGCTGCATGAGGAACCAAACCTTATTGTAGAAAGTGACGATGGGTTTTTGTGTATCATCGCATAAGACACGACGGTCGCGAAGTGAGAAAGAGATATCCTTAATATAGAAGAGACGATCATCCTTTTCACTGTAAGCGATTCCTTTCTCAGTATTAATTTGTATACTGACAGGGTGAGGAACACAGTATGAAGGATTGATCACTTAGATTTTCTCTGCCATTGGAGAGTTAGGTGTTTTATGGAACCAAAGTGTCTTCATGTATGTGTTGTATATCTTCATATATATATATAAAAGAAAAAAAAATGTATTATGTAGAATAGATCAGTTGAAGCTTTCCACTTGCAAATACAATAGTATATGAAATCCATCGTTTTGATATGTTATCCACGTATATACGCTTCATTTATATATATATATATATATATATATATATATATATATATATATATATATATATATATATATATATATATATATATATATATATATATATATAAATACC